TAACTACACACCCACCATCTTCCAGGTAGACACAACATAACAACACCCACCATCTGTCAGGTAGACACAACATTAACAAGACACCAACCCAGTTCTTCAGGTAGACAAACATTATCATGAACACCAAGCCTATCTTCCAAGTCGCGGATCTATCAACAATTAACCACATGATCGTCTTCGAAGTAGATCACAACATTAAAACACCAGCATCTTCCAGGTAGAACAGACTACATTAACAACACCAGCCATCTTCTCTAGGTAGGGACCATCAACTATTAACCAAACACCAACCATCTCCAGGTTAGACACAACATTTAATGCAACACCCCAACGCATCTTCCAGTAGTAACACAGACATTACAACACCAACCATCTTCCGGTAGACGACAACATTAACAACACCAAACCATAGACTTTCCATGTAGATCCAACAACATTATCAACACCAGCCATCTTCCAGGGTAGACACAACATTAACAACACCAACATCTTCAGGTGACACAACATTAACAACACCAACCATCTTCCAGGTGTTAGACACACATTTAACAACACCAACCATATTTCCAGGTAACACAACATGTAACAACACCACTCCATCATTCAGGTAGACACACACTCAATTAACAAACACCAACCATCTTCAGGAAGACAGTCAACATTAAACAACACAGCCATCTTATACAGGTTAGAACACAACATTAACACACCCCACCATCTTCCAGGTGTATGACACAAAACATTGATAACAACACCAGCCATCTCCTAGGTGAGAAACAACTTAACAAACACCAGCCATCGCTATCCAGAGTAGAACACAACATTGTAACGTAACAACTCCAGCCATTTCTTTCCAGGTTGTACAACAAGCTTTAACAACACCAGCCATCTTCCAGGGTAGTGACACAACATTACACAACATGAGATCGTCTTCCAGGTAGGACATCTCTAACATTAACAACACCAGCCATCTTCCAGGTAGACACAACATTAAACAACACCAGCCATCTTCCAGTAGACACAACATTATACCAACACCCACCCATCTTCCAGGTAGACACACATTAACAACACCCACCATCTTCAGGTTAGACACATCATGTAACAACCCAGCCATCTTCCAAGTAGACACAACATGAACATATACAATCTTCTTTTGTCGCTTCCAAGTAGACACTCAACCATTAACAGCCTCCCAACCATCCTTGGCTATCCTCGTGCGAAGGACAGTGGTTTGACCGCTTGTCTGGGTCTACTGCGATTGACAGGTTGACCTGCTTGACCTGGGTGCTTACTGCTGTGTTGGTACAGTTTGACCTGACTTGACCTTGGGTCTACTGCGATGGACAGGTTTGATCACTGCTTGACCTGGGGGTCTTTCTGCGCGATGTGTGAGACAGGTTTGAGCCTGCTTGACCTGGGTCTTTTTTACGCTGCGATGGACAGAGGGTTTAGGGATGAGGCTAAGAACAATTGCTATTGTACGTCTGTAATTGACGAGATTTTCCTTTTCTTTCATAAAATGATTGCCTCAATGTTATTGCTTAGTGACTTATTGCCACGTAACTTTTTATGTATCCTCACAGTATCTGTAGCCAGTTGACATGATGATCTGCTGATATAAGCTTTCAGTGCGCAGACGTGTTACCAGTACGCCTTGTAGCCAGTGACTGTGATCAGTGAATAAGCAGTGACGTATTACCAGTACCTTGTAGCCAGTGACTGTGATCAGTGAATAAGCAGTGACGTGTTACCAGTACCTTGTAGCCAGTGACTGTGATCAGTGAATAAGCAGTGACGTGTTACCAGTACCTTGTAGCCAGTGACTGTGATCAGTGAATAAGCAGTGACGTATTACCAGTACCTTGTAGCCAGTGACTGTGAGTCGGTGAATTAAGGCTCTCAGTGACGTATTGACCCTAGTTATCTTGTAGCACAATGACTGTGATCAGTGAATAGAGAGGACGTGTTACCAAGTACTTGTTGCCAGTGACCTCATGTGATCTGTGAATAAGCAGTGATCGTGTTACCCTGTACCTTGTAGCACTCAAGTGACTGTGATCAGTGATAAGCAGTGACGTATTTCCAGTACCTTGTAGCCAAGAGACTGTGATCAAGTGAATAAGCAGTACGTGCTCTAACAGTACCTTGTAGCTCCAGTTGACGCTTGTGATCAGCTGATCACATATAGCTCGCAGTTGACGTTTTACAGTTTGTTTTACCGCTTGTAGCCAAGTGACGCTGTTGTATCAGTGAATAAGCAGTGACGTATTACCAGTACCTTGTAGCCAGTGACTGTGATCAGTGAATAAGCAGTGACGTATTACCAGTACCTTGTAGCCAGTGACTGTGATCAGTGAATAAGCAGTGACGTATTACCAGTACCTTGTAGCCAGTGACTGTGATCAGTGAATCGTAGGCAGTGAGCGTATTACAGTACCTTGTAGCAGTGACTGTGTATCAGTGAATTGAAGGCCTAGTTGACGCTATTTACAATACCTTTGTAGCCAGTGACTGTGATCACTGTGAGTAAAGCAGTGATCTTATTACCAGTACCTGTTGTTTAGGTCCAGTGAGAGCTGTGTATCAGTGAAATAAAGATCGCAGTGACGTTGTTCCGCAGTGACCTTGTAGGCCTCAGTGACTGTGATTCATGTGAATCGAGACAGTACTGACGTGTTACCAGTCACCTTGTAGCAAGTTGGACCTGTGTATATAGTTGGAATATAGCGCGAGTGACGTGTTACCAGTACTTTGTTAGCCAGTGATACTGTGGATTCTACAGTGAATAAGCAGTGTACGTATTACCAGTACCATTTGTTAGCCAGTGACTGTGATCTGTGTGAATAGTCGTAGTGACGTTGTTTACAGTACCTTGTAAGCCAGTGACTGTGATCAGTGAATAAGCAGTGACGAATTACGCAGTAGCCTTGTAGCCACGTGACTTGTGATCAGTGAATAAGGCAGTGACGTGTTACCGGTGTACCTTGTAGCCAGTGAATGTGAGTTCTCATGTGGAAAAAGCAGTGATGCGTTGTTACCAGAACTTTGTAGCAGTTGACTGGTTTGAAATATATATAAAACCGCAGTTGAAGTTAAGCTAGTGACGTTATTGACCAGTACATTGTAGCTAGTGACGCTGTGTCAGTGAATTGAAGCAGTGACGTATTACCGTACCTTTGTAGCCAGTTGACTTGGTGATCAGATGAAATTGTAAGCAGTTGACGTGTTACTCGCAGTACCTTGGTAGCAGTGGACTGTTGTGATCAGTAGAATAAGCTGTTGACGTATTGCCAGTACCTTTGATAGCCTAGTGAACTGTGATCAGTGAATATAGTGCCAGTGACGTAATTTACCGCTCAGTACCTTGTGTAGCCAGTGACTGATGGAGCAGTGAATAAGCTCTCGCAGTGACGTTGTTACCGCAGTACCTTGTATGCCATGTGGGAGCTGTTGATTCAGTGTAATAAGCGCAGTGTAACGTTGTTACCAGTACTCTGTGTAGCATTGATGTGATCAGTGAATAAGCAGTGGGACGTGTTACCAGTTATTTGTAGCCAGTGACTGTGAATCAGTGAAATAAGCAGTGACGTATTACCAGTTACCTTGTAGCCAGTGGACTGGTGAACATAGTGAATATAGCAGTGACCGTGTTACTAGTACCTTGTTAGCTCAGTGTAGCGCATGTGATCAGCTTGGTAAGTCAGTGAGTTATTAGTCAGTTACGCTTGTTTGCCGCGCGCAGTGGATCAACAAAAAATCATTCTTCTCTCACCTGGTTGATGTTAGTCAACCATCCTATCCTCCACCTGGTTGATGTTAGTCAACCATACTTCCTCACTCTGGTTGATGTTATCAACATCCTTTCTCTCACCTGGTTTGAATGTTAGTCAACCATCCTTCCCTCACCTGGTTGATGTTAGTCAACCATACTTCCCTCACCTGGTTGATGTTAGTCAACCATCCTTCCCTCACCTGGTTGATGTTAGTCAACCATCCTTCCCTCACCTGGTTGATGTTAGTCAACCATACTTCCCTCACCTGGTTGATGTTAGTCAACCATCCCTTTCCCGCATCCATGGTGTGAGTTAGTCAACCATTCTTCTCTCACCTGGTTGATGTTAGTCAACCATCCTTCTCTCACCTGGTTGATGTTAGTCAACCATCCTTCTCTCACCTGGTTGATGTTAGTCAACCATCCTTCCCTCACGATGGTTGATGTTAGTCCAATCCATCCTTCCTCACCTGGTTATATGTAGTCAACCATGCATACTTCTCTACACACTGGTTGTGTTATTCAACCATTCCAATCTCTCAGGCGCATGGTTGATGTATATGTCAATCCATCCTTCTCTTCACCTGGTGCGTGTTAGTCACCATCCTTCAGACTCACCTGTTAGATGTTAGTCAACCTTCCTCCCCTTGAGCCCTGGTTCTGATGTAGCAGTCCAACCATCTTCCTCCACCTGTTGGATGTTTAGTCCAACCTTCCTTTCCCCTCACCTGGTGATGTTATCAACCATCTTCTCTCACCGGGTTGATGTAGTCAACCTTCCTTCCCTCACCCAGTTGATGAAGTCAGTCATCCTTCTCTCACCTGTTGATCACAGTCCCAACCATCCTTCTCTCAGACCTGTTGATAACAGTCAACCATCCTTCTCTCCACCCTTGGTTGATCACAGTCAACGCATGCCTTCTCTCACCTGGTTGATAACAGTTAACCACCTTCTCTCACCTGTTCGAATCTCAGTCAACCATCCCTATCTCACCCGTGATGCCAGTCAACCTGTACACCATCCTTCCCTCACCTGGCTAATTCCTGTCAACGAACTTGTTGTTGGTATCAAGATATATTTCCCTGTTATCAACAGCTGTGTCCACGTGAGTGTTCAATCCTAAACTCTGCTAGTCTTTGTATTAACATTTAATGTTTTTACCCTTGCCAGAGTTATATTTGGCAGAAATAACACTGGTTGAAATGTTGCTTTGCAGACTTCGCTCAGAGGCGGTGTTGCAGCCGTCAGGCAGCTCTCCTGTCTGCAGGAATGTGTTGAGGAGGCTGGCTTGTGTGTCTTAATGCTGCATCACCTTCCCTCACTACCCACAGTAAGTTGTACATGAATGGTATATACAATGCTGACAAGATGATGAATTACACACATGTGCAACATCTGGCTATCTTTATTCGTAGATATTTCTCCATAATGTGAAGATCACCGTAGTCTTCAAGACTACGGTGATCTTCACCACCTCCAAGGCTGAGGGACTGATTACCTCTTCTTTTGAATATAGTTGTACAGTCTTCCAGTTATGTCCAGATGTTGTTTTTTATTTGAACATGTGTTTAAATCGCACCCATAGTTAAATCTTGTACTCTCCCTCAACCTGTCTTATTAGGTATCCCCCAAGATGTGTTCAAACTTACCTTCATACCTTGAGAATGTCTAGTTCGATCGACTTCAAATTTGGAACACTGTTTTACTGTACCGGAGCACAGACTCGTGCACTTGTTGACTTACTCAGGTGACGTCTGGTCAGTGTTATTTAAATTATAACAACATTCTTGAAGAAGCTCCGATAAGTTGGAAATTGTCTCTTCTGACTGAGAGGAATGTTGAACACGGTTACCCAAAATGAGGGAGTGAATGTTGAATCACTGGTGTACAAATGGAGGGAGGTGAATGTTGAACACTGGTTACCATAATGAGAGGAGGTGAATGTAGAACACCTGGTGTACCAGAATGGAGGGAGGTGAATGTTTGAAGACTGGTGTAATTAAGGAGGGAGTGAAATGTTGAACACTGGTGTACCATAATGGAGGGAGGTGAATGTTGAACACTGGTGTACCATAATGGAGGGAGGTGAATGTTGAACACTGGTGTACCATAATGGAGGGAGGTGAATGTTGAACACTGGGTACCATAATGGAGGAGTGAATGTTTGACACTTGTGTACCATAATGGAGGAGGGGAATGTTAACACGGTGTACCATAATGGAGGAGGTGAATGTTGAACACTGTGTACCATAGTGAGGGAGGTGAATGGGGGGGGGTGTTGAACACTGGTGTATCATATTCTAGGTGGTGAATGTTTGAAACACTGGTGTATACCATAGTCCAAGGTGGTTAATGTTGAACACTGGTGTACCATAGTCCTAGGGTGGAGGAATTTGAACACTGTGTACCATCGTCTAAGGCTGGGATGTGAACACTGGTGTATCATAGTCTAGAGGTGAATGTAACACTGGTGTAATCATAGGTCCTAGGCTGGTGAATGTTAACACTGGTGTCCATAGTCTAGGTGGTGAAATGTTGAACACTGTGTATCATAGTCTAGGGAGGTGAAATGTTGAACACTGTGTATCCATAGTCTAAGGGTGGTGAATGTTGAACACTGGTGTATTATAATGGAGGGAGGTGAATGTTGAACACTGGTGTACCATAATGGAGGGAGGTGAATGTTGAACACTGGTGTATCATAATGGAGGGAGGTGAATGTTGAACACTGGTGTACCATAATGGAGGGAGGTGAATGTTGAACACTGGTGTATCATAATGGAGGGAGGTGAAAGTTGAACACTGGTGTATAAAAAAAGGGATTGAGTGAAATGTTGACACTGGTGTACCATAGTCTAGGGAGGGTGAATGTTGAACCTGGTGTACCATATCTAGGGATGAATGTTGAAACACTGGTGCACCAATAGTCTTAGAGGTGAATGTTGAACACTGGTGTACCATAGTCTAGGGAGGTGAATGTTGAACACTGGTGTACCATAGTCTAGGGTGGTGAATGTTGAACACTGGTGTACCATAGTCTAGGGTGGTGAATGTTGAACACTGGTTACCATAGTCCTAGGAGGTGAATGTGAACACTGGTGTACCATAGTCTAGGGTGGTGAATGTTGAACACTGGTGTACCATAGTCTAGGGTGGTGAATGTTGAACACTGGTGTACCATAGTCTAGGGTGGTGAATGTTGAACACTGGTGTACCATAGTCTAGGGAGGTGAATGTTGAACACTAGTGTACCATAGTCTAGGGTGGTGAATGTTGAACACTGGTGTACCATAGTCTAGGGTGGTGAATGTTGAACACTGGTGTACCATAGTCTTACGGAGGTGATGTTTGAACACTGTGTATCCATAGTCTAGGGTGGTGAATGTTGAACCTGGTGTACCATAGTCTAGGGAGGTGAATGTTGAACACTGGTGTACCATAGTCTAATGTGGTGAATGTTGAACACTGGTGTACCATAGGCTAGGGTGGTGAATGTTGAACACTGGTGTACCATAGTCTAGGGTGGTGAATGTTGAACACTGGTGTACCATAGTCTAGGGTGGTGAATGTTGAACACTGGTTACCATATTCCTAGGTCGTGAATGTTGAACCTCTGGTGTACCATATTCTATGGATGTGAATGTGAACACTGGTGTAACCATAAGTCTAGTGTGTGAATGTTGAAACCGGTGTACCATATCTAGGGTGGTGAATGTTGAAAATGGTGTACCATAATCTAGGAGGTGAATGTTTGAACACTGGTGTAGCCATAGGTCTAGGGTGGTTGAATGTTGAAACACTGGGTACCATAGCTAGGGAGGTCAATTATGAAAGCACTGGTGTAACCATACAAGGTTGGTGAATGTTGAACACTGGTAACCATAGTCTAGGTGGTGAATGTTGAACACTGGTGTACCAAAGCCTAGGGATGTGAATGTTGAACACTGGTGTACCATAGTATAGGGTGGTGAATGTTGAACACTGGTGTATACCATAGTCTAAGGGAGGTGAATGTTTGAACACTGATGTACCAGTAGTCTAGGGAGGTGAATGTTGAATCACTGGTGTTAACTCATAGTCTAGGGAGTGAATGTTTGAACACTGGTGTAACCAGAAGTCAGGGTGGTGAATGTTGCACACTGGTGTACCATAGTCTAGGGTGTTGAATGTTGAACCTGGTGTACAATAGTCCTAGTGGTGAATGTTTAACACTGTGTACCATAGTCAGGCCTGTGTATGTTGAACACTGGTGTACCATACCAGACGTAAGTTTGGTTGGTATACCAGACGTAAGTTTGGTTGGTATACCAGACGTAAGTTTGGTTGGTATACCAGACGTAAGTTTGGTTGGTATACCAGACGTAAAGTTGTGGGTATACCAACCTAAGTTTGGTTGGTATAACCAGACGTAAGTTTGGTTGTATACCAACGATTAGTTTTGGTTTGGTATACCAGACCTAATTGTGTATAAAAAAAGACGTAAGTATGGTTGGTATACCAGACGTAAGTTTGGTTGGTATACCAGACGTAAGTTTGGTTGGTATACCAGACGTAAGTTTGGTTGGTATACCAGACGTAAGTTTGGTTGGTATACCAGACGTAAGTTTGGTTGGTATACCAGACGTAAGTTTGGTTGGTATACCAGACGTAAGTTTGGTTTGGTAAGACAGACGAAAGTTTGGGTTGTAATACCAACGTAAGTTGTTGGTATACCAGACGTATGTTTGGTTGGTATACCAGACGTAAGTTTGGTTGGTATACCAGACGTAAGTTTGGTTGGTATACCAGACGTAAGTTTGGTTGGTATACCAGACCTAAGTTTGGTTGGTATACCAGACGTAAGTTTGGTTGTATCCAGACGAGACGGTAGTTTGGTTGGTATACCAGACGTAAGTTGGTTGTATACCAAGACGTAAAGTTTTGTTGGTAAACTAGACTAAAGTTGTTGGTATACCAGACATAAGATTTTGTTGGAATACCATACGTAAGTTTGTTGTGTACCAGACGTAAGTTTGTATACCAACGTAAGTTTTGGTTGGTATACCAGACGTAAGTTTGGTTGGTATACCAGACGTAAGTATGGTTGGTATAACAGACGTAAGTTTAGTTGGTATACCAGATGTAAGTTTGGTTGGTATACCAGACGTAAGTTTGGTTGGTATACCAGACGTAAGTTTGGTTGGTATACCAGACGTAAGTTTGGTTGGTATACCAGACGTAAGTTGGGTTGGTATACCAGACTAAAGGTTGGTTGGTATACCATAACGTAAGTTTGGTTTGATACCAACGTAAAATTTGGTTGGTATACCAGACGTAAGTTTGGTTGGTATACCAGGATATTTCAGAGTTTCCAGCAATACATATAGTAAGCAATTTCTGACAACGATGTGGATGTGGATCAACAGAGCTGTTATTGATACTTTAAGGTTAAACGTAATTAATGTCAGCAGTGTTTAAGTCTGATATATAATTCACTTTTTAACTATATTATTGAAGCAGGTGGCCGAAGGTAATTATTTTTACTATCTTCTGGAAGGGCGTTCGAATTTCTTAGTTACTTTATTTAGATTGAACCTGACACGTGGTATACCAGAGATAGTTTTTGTATTGTATGTTAATGTTGTGCTGGAGTGTTCCAGTAAGAGTGGGACCGCTGTCTGGAAGTTTGTTCTGAGTGTTCTCCTGTTGTGCTGAGTGTTTTCAGTAAGAGTGGGGACCGCTGTCTGGGAGTTTGTTCTGAGTGTTCTCTGTGTGCTGGAGTGTTCCAGTAAGAGTGGGAGCGCTGTCTGGAAGTTTGTTCTGAGTGTTCTCTGTGTGGCTGGAGTTTCCATAAGATGTGACCCGCTGTCTGGAAGTTTGTTCTGATGTTCTCTGTGTGCTGGATGTTCCAGTAAGAGTGGAGCGCTGTCCTGGAAGGTTGTTCTATTTCTTGTGGGCTGGAGTGTTTCCCAGTAAGATGGGACCGCTGTCTGGAAGTTGTTCTGAGTGTTCTCTGTGTCTGGAGTGTTCCAGTAAAATGGGACAGCTGTCCTGGAAGTTTTGTTCTGAGTGTTCTCTGTGTGCTGGATGTCCAGTAAAGAGTGGAGCGGCCTGTCTGAATTTGTTCTGAGTGTTCTCTGTGTGCTGAGTGTTTCCAGTAATGTGGACCGCTGTCTGGAAGTTTTTCTGAGTGTTTCTCTTGTGGCTGAGTTTCCAGTAAGAGTGGGACAGCTGTCGGAAGTTTGTTCTGAGTGTTCTCTGGGCTGGAGTGTTCCAGTAAGAGTGGAGCGCGTCTGGAAGTTTGTTCTGAGTTTTCTCTGTGTGCTGGAGTGTTTCCAGTAAGAGTGGGAG